ATGTGCTCCTCCAGAAGCATGTATGCTAACTGCTAACTACAAGGCTCCATTTCTTACAGTAAGTCTCTGTTTAAATGCTAGACGTTGTGTAATAGTGTAAAAGCTTCCTGTGATTATTCTTTTGGTGTGTGTGTGTTGTATGTGTAGTCTACACGATATCATTTTAGTTTAGTTTATTAATATCCCCGTTAGCCAAAGAGATTAAATGGCAATTCCTGGGGTCTCATCAAAACAACATACAAAGGCTCTTACACATTTTTATATATAAATCCTCTTACACACACTCACACGACATGAAAGCTCAATATATATATTTATATATATATATATATATATATATACACACAGATTTGCATAAGAAATAATCAAATTGTGTACATTTGTTGATATGGATAAAAGCAATTATAATAATAATAATAAATAAACTGCCAGAACCCTATGGCTTCAGTCCCACTCTAATATACATACAGGTTTTTCCTTTTTAGTTTACTCAAATATACGTATGTTTATTCTTACACATTTGATATATATTTATATTAAATTATGATTGTATTTATATTATTGTGATTTAATGTTCATGCTTCTGTCTTTCAGAATTTGCTGAAATGAGCACAGAATCTGCGCTGCTGCTGGACCAGACAACGATCCGATGTGCAAAGATGCTGCAATTCTCAACGATCGATCACAACCACGGATCATCAAAGACGGACATCGCGAGAAACAAAGCGACACAGACCGAGACCGATTTTCTTACATTGTTTTTCACTTGGTTATTAAAATGCCTTCAGCAGCAACTGGTTTCTTTTGACTCACTCTGTATTTTTTAAGATGTTGTATGTTATATATCCCACTGTTTAGTTGTTAATGGACCACTGTTATTGATTAATAATCAATACAGGCCATTGGTGTCTATGCGGTGACATCTAGTGACCAAAACTTGCATTGTTTAGACAGAATATATAACCAAATGTAAATAAGTAGTCTTTATTTATATAGCGCTGGTGAATCAAACATCATGCCAATCGGTAAAGTAAATAACAATCTTCACACAGATGCAGCTCACACGTAATCCTGACCAGCACAGTGTCCTGTCTATTTGAGGACTGTGTTTTATCAAAACAATGTTATAACAAGCCTCCAATTTGTGAATGTACAACGTAAATTATGATATTCACAGGGGTGGGGTTTAAGATTTTTCTTCCTCCCACTCCTCTTTGAGTTTGAATAATGTACAATATTGTAATAATTAATTGTGAATTAATGATTTGCTAGAACATTCTATGTAGTGACATCTGATAATTTATATTTGATGTTGAAGGGGCGACAGTAGCTCAGTTGGTAGAGCATTGGCCTTAAGCCCAGAAGGTCGTGGGTTCAATTCCCACCTCTGCACCTTCTCCACTGACTCCCACTGATGACTGCTGTCGTTGTGTCCTTGGGCAAGACACTTAACCCCACTTTGCCCAAAGCCCCCACTGAAAGATCAAGGCTATGCTCACACTCAGAGAGCAGCCGTCCTCCTGTGGACTCACCACCTGCAGAGGGTCAGTGAGGGGCTGGTGCTATGAGACTTGGGTGGCATCTCTGACTGTCACCCCCCTGACCCAGAAATGGATTAAAGGGTAGAAAATGGATGGATGGATGGATGGATGTTGAACTTGAAATTAATGAACACTCAACCCAACGTCTATATCTGACTATACATGTGCAACAGTTTCAACGTCTCCCTTCATGGTTACCATGGTTACCTAAGGTTTGTGGACAAAATCTTTAAGACTTTGACTTGATTGAACATCTGCCATCCCATAAAAGAAAGAAAGTCCTGTATTAGAAACACGTTGTTGCTATGAAGGTACAGTTGCATAATAGCATTTCCATCCACAGCCATGGAGTCAACTAAATACAAACATATCTTTTGCCGAATGCAGCCATATCTGAGACATATTTCACGTCAGAAAAGACCATCTGTAAGCAGTGTTTGAATAGAAACCGGAAATGGGGATCCAAAAGCAGGAAGTCAACCGGAAATGCCCAAAAAACTCGTCTATATGATCTAGTGCTGACCCAGGGGGGTAGTGGGGGGCGAAAGCTCCACGGGTGCGGAGCTTCTAATCAGTTCGTGCAGCTTTAACTACTGCAGTTAATAAATGCTTAACTCATAATTAATACATCTTCAAGTACTTCATTTGTTCATGATTATTCAATAATTATGAAGTAACCATTTGTTACAACATATATAGATGGTTTGTTACACCATGATTAAACCAAATGTTAAAGCCACCCTGTGTAATTTTTACAGCTGCTCCATATGCAAAAACATGTTAACTAATAACAAATGTGACCTTTTTAAAAATATTTACCTCCACCATGTTTTTTTAATTGTATTCATAGGCTTAGAATTTAACTTATAAGTGCCCATGAGAGAGGAGTGCTCTCCACGTAAATGCGCCATCTTGAAGAACCATCCGAACAACAATCTTTTAGAAAAATAATTATGCAGAAGTCCAGCGTCAACAGTCAAACTGTCAACATCGCAAACCACACGCACAAAGACAGCGTTAACACAACAGTAGTAGTAGTAGTAATCTTTATTTATATACCGCCTTTTCACTGCACATCGGAGTCTCAAAGCGGTTTACAATTGTTATTTTTGGGAGTGGGGGTGCCAGTACAGGAGGCACGTGCCAGACCTATTGTACATATTTTTAGTGGTAGGGGAAACCGGAGCACCCGGTTTCTACAACACAGTCTCAGGATGTTCTGACCCGATATGAGCACAGTCCAACTACTATGTCACAAGTTTCAAATAAACTTATTCAAGGATAAAGCCTCAAATAAAACACACACAGAATCCCCACAAAACAATCGCCAGAATACTTCAGCAGTGTGAGTGAATGTTCTGTTTGTCATACCGTGATGCAGATAGGGCGCTGTGGCTAACACTAATGGTAACATGAGCTTTTAGCCATTTCTGCCACAGCCGTGTATATCTCCTGCTTCTTTGATCATTGTTGTTTTAATCTCCCGCAGACGTTACTCCTACATGCGTCTATTCTCTTCACATTGCGTTTGTAAAACTATATATTATAATAGATATATGGTAGAACTCAGTGCAGTGCAGCCTCTGTGCAGCAGGTGCTGCGTCTGAACCATAGACTGTATATATTAAACAGTCTATGGTCTGAACACGTTCTTGTTTACAAGTTGTCTCCACACGATTGTCAAGTGCCTGAGACGTTTGGAGAGTGAATGACTGAGAGTTGAGGAGCACTGTCAAAGACAGACAGAGCTCCTCAACTCTCAGTCAACTGAAAGGCCACCGTACTTTAATAGACTGCAATATAAGATCGCAACGCTAGATGGCACTAAATATTACACAGTGTACCTTTAATGATTAATAATTGTATACTTGATTATAAACTAATACTGCAGTGCATGATTTATTCAGTGAATTACTAACAGTTAGTTAAGAGTTTTTGTGAGCTTTTGTAAAGTGTACACTATTTACACTTTAAACAATTTACACACATTTTTTAAAGACCACCAAACTGGCCCCATGAATTAAATACACATCTTTGCAAAACATGCACAAACATATCAACATGGGGACACTATCGTCAATCTTATTTTCCTGCACCTTCGTAATGCTAGTTTCTATTTGAGCTACCTCTGTTTGTAGTTTACATCACTTATTTACGTACTTTATGTCAACCATATGTAGAGCTTACAGGGGACCTATGTTGGATTTTTATGTTATTAATTTGATGACTTATTTTAGTTCCTACTAGCCCAGACACATAAGCTATTGATTGTTTAATGTGTTTTCGCTATAGAATAATTATTAATACTTTTTTCCTTTGTGTATTTCTGTTTCCTTAGCTCCACATAATTGCACACTCAACAACAATACAACATACAAACTGTGATCTCCTGCCAAACCTGCAATAAAGCTGATTGAAGATAGTGTCCCCAACCATAAAAGAACCTCTCCATTCTTCACAGTGTTCTTCCTGTTTTACTTGAATTTGATTTTTAATATTGATATATGTTTGTGCATGTTTTGCAAAGATGTATATTTAATTAATGGGGCCAATTTGGAGGCCTTTTTTTATTGTTATGGGCCTGATATAGCATTGTAAAGCAATTTAAAAGATGAATATATATTCTGTGTTCATGTCTCATGGCTTATTATTTTTAGATGAAACATCTATGGTTACTTATCCATAATAAGGTGTAGTTATTATAAAGTGTTACTGCCCTGGGAAGCAAAACATTGCAGATAATTTTGTGTAAAATTTATTTATTTTATTTACAAAAACTCTTAATTAATTGTTAGTAACTGACTAATAAGTCATTCAATGCAGTATTAAGAATGATTAATTGTCACACTAAAGGGTCTTTAAGAAATGTGTAATAAAGTATAAATAGTGTACACTTTACAAAAGCTCATAAAAAACTCTTAACTAACTGATAGTTACTGACTGAATCAATCATGCATAGCAGTAATAGTTTATAATCAAGTATACAATTATTAATCATTAACATGTGGTATAATCATGGTGTAACAAACCATCTATATATATAGTGACAAATGGTCACTTCATAATTATTAAATAATAATGGACAAGTGAAGTACTTGAAGATGTATTCATTATGAGTTACGCATTTATTAACTGTAGTAGTTATTGTAAGAAGTTATTAAGTGTTAGTCACACTTAATTAATGAATTGTTCATGATTAATTGTTATTTCAACGTTTATTAAGCCTAAATAAGGTGTAGTTATAGTGTAAGTGTTACCAAAAAAACGTATTTGAAAAATAGAATTTTTGCATCATCATTCATAATCAAATCCAACTTTTAATCTCAATTGTAAAGATGCTTATTTTGTCGACTTTCCTGAAGGAGAAACAGAATGTTAGGAGTGAGAGAAACAAGGTGGTCTTGATATGAAGGGGCAGTTGTGAGAGCTGTCTGTGGTGCTGATCCTGTCTTTGTGCAGGGTCCAGACAAGTCACGGTCTCAGCTGATCATCCTGGACCGAGGCTTCGACCCGGTCTCCCCGGTGCTGCACGAGCTGACCCTGCAGGCCATGGCGTACGACCTGCTGGCCATCGAGAACGACGTCTACAAGTAACAACCACTAACATAATTTCAATCTCTGGACAAAGACTTCATTAGAATGTTATCTATGTCATATTTGTATGAATCTACTGCATTTGCAGATCATTCATTAGCCTCAGGCGCTTGATTAAAAGCAGGTGGCCAGTTTATGGTGTTACTTACAGTAACTTTGGAAAGAGAAGCCGCGGGGATGAACCGCATAAAGTAACAGCAGAAAGCGGCCGCCCGCTTTTGATGTGCGGACCTCTTTACCGCTGACTCCGAAAAGCCGGGCCACTTTACCGGGGTCAGAGAACAGTGAGGGCGAGCCGCAAGAAATGCGCTCCACTTCTGCTAAGAAGGGAGCCCACCAAGCCCATCACTGTGTCGCTACGTGAGTAAAAATACGCAAGCCTCCTTTTTTGGGCTGGACAGTGCAGCTCAGTGGTGGCGCGAGTCTCTGCGTTACTCCGTATAAAGGAAATACATGCTCATTGACGGGAAGGACTGTTGAGGTGGGGGGTCGCGGGGGAGCAGCGCATTTATGATGGGGGTTGTAGGCTAAAAACTTTGGGAACCCCTGCTCTAAGACACCTCATCACGTTCATCACCTTTTTGCACTTCTCTATTACCTTATTAATATGGGCTGCCCATGTCAACTTACTATCAAACACTAACCCTAAGTACTTAAACTCATTCACTCGTTCATGTGGTCTATATTCTTTATGTGTTTTAACTGTTGATTCTCCGATCTGTGTTGGTGATTTTCAGTAGTTTTTGTTAAGTCCTCTGAGATGACTCCAGTTGTGATTTAGGGCTATACAAGAATAAATTGTATTGTATTGTATTGTATAGGTGTTTTGTTTTTTTTCTGCAACAAGTGGTACTGCACCCAAACTCTGAAAGAGCGACACTTAGGTGTGTGACTGCCTTATCATGTGGTCCTGAGTGCTGCACTAAAACAATAGGGGGGCTAGTTTTTATTTTTTCCACACCTAATGTGGTTTTACTGCAAATGGCAAATAAATGAATCTGAACCTAATGGCCAGAGGGGTTTTCACATGCAGCAGTGGGACACAGTCAAAACTTGTAGAGAGATCAGAGAAAGATAAATATGATTAAAGAGAGATCTGTGATTGAGTGTTTGTATCCTAATGATGGCGATGGGAGGGTATTCTAACAACCAACCAGAATGCTCTGATGTATGTGATGTGTGAATGTGGGGAACCATGACTGAGCTCACCATGTCAATTGATCGGTTGCTAGGCTTTCAGTACACCATGCCTGTAAAAGGAAAATTGTTTAAAGAGCGGCGTCTCAAGAGCTCACAATATACATGGCTTGAGAACAGCAATGAAACTCTCTCTCCTGTGCCTCCCTTGACTTAACTGTCACAACTCTTTAAGTAGTAAGAGTCACGGAGATGGGGACAGAGTTCAAACTGGTACACAAGTATGATCAATCCGTCTGAAACTCACCTGATGTCGAAGGTTCCGTGGAGCAAAAACACACATAATATTTAAATGCATTTTTTGTGGTGTTAATCAATTGTAATTTATGCGTTATAATCATGACCTTAATCATAAGGTAGCAGTAGTAGTCTCTATATCGATTTAATTGTGCAATACAATAAAAATAAGAACCCTATATACATATATGTACACAGTTTGAAACAGAGTAGGTAGATGTGATACTTGGTTCCTTGTTACATGTTTTCTTTTTACTGGAGATCAAATGATTTACAGGAGTACATCTCTCAGATATACAATTGACACTCGTTACCATAAATAGTCATCTTAAAGACTGATTAAACACCCATATTATATGGGTATAATATATATATATATATATATTATAGTATAGTAGTTTTGTTGTTTCTTAAAAACCATGATTTGTTTTATTTTTTTTGACTCTTTAATGTCTTTGTTAAGTTCCACAAGTTGATTCCTTCCACTGAGACCATTCTTCCCATGACTTTAGTTCTGAATCTAGGTTTTATTAAAGATGTCAGTTCCTTACAGATTGTACTGACTTTGTCTTTTTTTTTCCAAGTTCTCTTAGATGCTTGCTGCTAATGTTTTGCAATTTGCCTTATACAATGTATGATAAATAGTATAATCCACTATATCATACAATTTTAACACCATGCACTCAAAAACAGGATTTGATGAATCTCCTTCTGCTCTTTTTTTTATGTAAAATAACTATTGGCTCTGTATGTGTTTTAAACGTTGTTTTCCAAATGTTGACAACATAGGTGAGGTCGGTATAATCATTGTATTATCTAAGGTCAGTACTGCTGAGTGGTTTGGAAAGTGTAAAACACCAAGTGATTTGGCTAATTTTCCTTTTGTACAGTGCCTGTGAGATTTCCAGCTAAGATCCTCAACGATGATGACTCCCTAAAATGTTGTTTCTTTTACCCTTTTGATTTTCCCCCGTCTAGTCTTATCGATACACTATTTAAGATTTTTTTCTTTTTAGCATTGAATATCATGTAATCGTTTTTCTTTGTTTAGAGCAAAGTCATTTTGATCTAACCAGATTTTTATTTTGCAAGTTCTTTGTTTATTACTTTTGATAACTCTCCAATATTTTTTTTTCCACAACAAAATAATGTTGTGGCAGCAGCAAATAAGATTCTTTGTAACATAGTTGTCATGTCTTCAAGTTTAAAGACATAATTCAATCATTTATAAGTTTGTTTAAAAATACAGCACGTTCTTAAATGCTATATAATAAGTTACATTTAAAAAACAAAGAAATGCTTTTCCATGGAAAATGAAGACAGGGTGAAATCCGAGGCACTCTGATAAAAGTCCTTTAACAGAGAAGGGACCAACGTGTTTGGCCCCCGCAGGGCCTTTTTCAGCCCAGTGTGATAATAAGCTATATTTGTTTGTTGTGTTAAAATATAAGGGGAAACAAAGTAAGACATCTTCTCTACAAAACATCAGTTTCCTGTCCGACCAGAGTAAGCGCTCTTGTTTTGTTTGTTTTTGTAACAATCTGTTTCATGTGTTGAGCCTTGGCAAACTTTCGTCTTTGTAAGTATTATTTAATGTCACAAGCACATTGTTAGGGCCACAAAAGTGTTTTATTCTACTGTGTTAAGTTTGTGCTATATCTGATTAGCTAGCGCAGTATGCAATTTCGTGTGTACAGCCGTTTCTGTTGTTTCAGTTACGGTGATTTTGGTGATATTTTATTTTGCATTTATGGATGCAATGAACCATACACAAGAGATTCTCTATGAAACAAGAAAAGTAAGCCTTGTCTACAGAGTTTCTTTCCCGTCTAGCTTCACATAGTCACGTGTTGTGAGGACAGCATAATAGTTGATACTTTTGGAAAGTCATTCATGCAAACAATATTGGTCCGAGTATTGAGTAATTTATTATTTTTACAATTTATCTGGACAAACTGTTTATGATTTTCTAGATAACTAGAGATCCATGTATGAGCAAAGCCTATGATTCAATTTTCTGGAGTTTCCAAAGTAATATGGAGTGGTTAATGACATCAAAAGCCTTTTGCAGGTCTAGTAAGATACTTACAACATATTTATCTTGATATTTTCTCTGTCAGTTCCATTATTGCCACAGCAGTTGAGTGTTTTTCCTAAAGCCATACTAATTTTGAATTAACATATTTACTTTTTGTAAAAAGCTATCCAGCCACATTGCAAATACTTTTTTCAAGATTTTTGAAAACTGTGGCAGCAAAGACACAGGTCTAGAATTTGAGAAGTTGTGTTTGTTTCTGTAAAGAGGTATAATTTTGGCTGTTTTCATTTTTTCGGGAAAAAGTTCCTGTTTTTAGTGACAAGTTGCAAAGGTATGTAAAAGGTTCAATTACAGATGCATCATGTCTGAGCCAGAGTCGGTTGTTTTCAAATGTATTCACAATTTTTCATACTTTGTCTTTTTCCATATTGGAAAGAAAAATACTGTTCACAGGATCTACCTTTGTATTTCACTGCTAGATGTTGGCTTTGGAATTTTCTTTTCTTTCGAGTCTCCTACACGAGTAAAGTATCTAAAAAATTCATTTGATATATTTATTTTATTGGATATTTCAGGACTGCCTTTGACGGAATAATTTGTGTACTCATGTTTGATTTTGTTGTTCCTCATGACATTATTTAAAATTCTCCAAGTAGCTCGTTCTCATTTAGTGTATCACTGTAATACTGTTTCTTCTGGTTTCTGATTATCCAGATTTTTTTTAAAACAATGTGTTTACCGATTTACTGTATGAATATAATATAATCAGAATAGTATGACAGCATCTGGTGTTAGACAACACCTTGATAAACAGAATTTGTATTATACAAAAATGAAAATAGAAGACAAAAAAAACAAAAAGGTACAACAAGCACCCACATACGAAAAAAATACAGATATGAAGTGACACTTTCCCACAGTGCCACATATATGTAAGGGATAACGTATATTACGCAGGTCATTATCGGAAAATAAGTACCGACAGGGCCTCAGCTTCATTTGTTACATTTAGATTTTCTACAATTTCTTTGTATGATCCCCACATTTGTTTCAAATATTGCTCGCTTTCCTTTTCTAAAACATGTAACTCTTTCACGGGGAAATGCTATCAGCATTTTTATTTTACCCAAAGCACCAGCTTGAGCTTGAACTTTTTTCCACTAAATTGCAATTGTTCTCTTTGCTTGTAAAAGACAGATATCTATCAGTACTTTTTCATTCTTTGTAAACTCATGTTTTCCAGGATGGATTCCTAAATAAAAAGTGTATATCCTTAGATATAGTGGTCTCTACTTCTCCTTTAACCTCAGGACATCCCCACACACAGTGGAACAATGTCCCTTTAGCATTTAGTTCATACATCAGGTACATTTCCATTATAACTATTCAATTTTTCTGATGTCTCATTCGTTCTCAGGAGCCACTTGGATTGTAGGAGACTGTTACACTAATATGTGCTTTTGAACATGCTGATTCCCAATCCTCTTTTACAATATTTGTTTCTAAATCCTCATTCCATGCCTT